CTGTGGACTGAACCTGGAACTGTTTCCTGACTCCATCCTGGATTTCCCTTGAGCACCTCTTGGACCTCTGATCTCCTGGCTCTGACTCCCGAGCAGGTCTTCGACCCCGGCTTTGCCCTCTGGGTTATCCAGCCTTCCTTAGCCTGCTTGGTTTTAATCTTCTGCCTGTTCTCTGACCTCTGAGCCTTCAGCATGTTGGACTCTCTGGGCGGTGCTCGCCACGTTGTGTAGGCAGCTGACCGGTGTAGGTACCAGACCTGCTCGGGTGGTCAGATCTGCTGGGTCCTGCTTCATGCCAGTGACGTTACGCTACATGAACATAGTGGTTGCCCAGACAACGATAATAACATCACGCAGCGTCAGTGTGCCGAGTCGGGAGCATCTTTAGCGTTAGCGTGTCTAATGACCGATGAAGTTTTACCTGATCGATAACAAAACTGAAAACAAATCTGTTTCTGGTGAACAAAGTAACTGTTAGACCATGATATAAAGAGCTGGGTAGATCTGTGGCTAGCTGTAGCTAACAGGTTAGCCTCTTTTAGCTCGCTCAGTTAGCCATATTAAGCTACACTATTTTTAAACTTGTGTCAACAACAACCGTTTGTTTTCTACAAATAGAATAACTGTTTTATTCGTCTAAAATCTCTATAAACGTCATTTTTTAGACGTTCCATTTGTCCTCCTCCGCCCTCGGATCTTAATAAAAAGAATAAAAATCTCCAAAAGAGATTTGATCTTTAGGAAACAGGTGTGATACAGGTTTGTCCAAGTGGAGTTGCCATATGATGACATCATAAGAAGGGGCGGGGCCCCAAGCAGATCTGACACCGGCTGTAACCAACCTCGTCCTCTGGACACAGACCGAACTTTAAGACCAGGTTAGTGACTCACATGTTCATCATCATCCTCTGCCAGATAGACGCGGTCACTAACCTGTGGTCTCCTCCTGCAGAGGTTCCTGCCTTAGACGCCGATGCTGTTCACTGCAGTTCCTTTTCTAATAAACTTTTTAAAAAATACAACCGTCTGTCTGCCTAGAATACTGGGTCCAATCTCTCTGAACATGAAACATTTTTGATAAAGCTTCTAGTTAGATCTATCTCTATAGTTCTGCTGCTATAGGCTTAGACTGCTGGAGGACATAGGGACCCCTTTTTCATCATTGGATATTTACAGGATTCATGTTCAGCCAGAATATTAGCAGTATCCACATAAACAATAAATAACAAAGAACTGCAGTTTAAGGATCAAACTATATTTATATAGATAGCATGATTGAATGAACTCACCACTTTTCCTTCCTTGCGTGCCAGAATAACTAAGCGGTTGGTCTCCTGCAGCCAGCTAGTGTATCGGGTGGGAAGGTAGTCCAGGCCGCCGTAGATGTCCTGACTCATGGCCATGATCTCATCAAAGTCCTCCTCAGTGGCTACAGCAAACTGAAGGCCGGCTTGGGAAGGAGCCTCAGGAGGCTGAGGGATGGTGAGGTTGGCATCGAGCTTCATCCTGCAGCAGCTGAAGAGAGAAAAAAATTAAATATAAAACCTCAAAGTACATCAGCTGTTACCCAAATTATTCTAATAGTTTTATTTGATTTGGTTGATTTCAAAGCACCAAAGGAAACAGTGAAAATCCAACAACATATGAGGCAAATATCCTGGTAGAAAAACAGAGAAGAAGAAGAATCAGTGAGCAGGTTAAAAAAAGAAAGAAAGGGATTCTGGAACGGATCCGTTTAGAGGTTCGATTCGAGGAGAGAGAGAGTCGGTTCTGGAGGATATCTGGAGGAAGAGTCGTCCGAAGTCTGGGAGCATAGCGGGAAAAAGTTCTTCTTCCTGTGGCGCTAAGATGAGAAGGAGAAAC